GGGGGGGGGTGAGGTCGGCTCACTCCAGCCTCCCCTTTGCTGGCAGTGACAGCGACCTGAGGTCACGTCAGCAGCAGCTGTGGGGGCCGGGCTGGAGCGGCTCAAGGACGGGGGGGACTGAGTGCAGAGAACGTGGGCCCCTCGACCACACTGATGGGGATGGCGAGCTCTGACTCTGACCCAGAGCTGTCCGACTGCAGAGCCCCCCACTGGGATGGCTCCCTAGCTGTCACGCTTGGGGATTGCCCTCTGTGCTCCTGCCCCAGGGCTCTGCCATGGTGTTCAGCCCCTGGACATGATGGGGTGCATCCCGTTTTGAGGTACAGAGAAGGCTAGCAGCCTGTCCACCATCACACAGCTAGGAAAGGGCAGAGCCCGGGTCTGTCTGACTTGGAACGTGAGTTGTGTCCATCTGACCCACTGCTGCTCAGAGCAAAGCCTCCCAGGACAGAGGGACTACCCCCCAGCCCAACCCCCGGGTGTCGGTGTGTACCCCTGCCGTACCTTCTGGAAGACGTAGCCCCCGCTGGGGCCCCAGCCCACGATGGGGTCGGAGGACGGCTTCCCGTTGACGTTGGGCTGGGAGTTGATGGTGAGGATGCCCTGGCGGTTCACCCGCAGCAGCTCCTCCTTCATCAGGCTGGTCTCGGCGGCCAAGGGCTCGTCGTTCCAGGGCAGACAAGTCACCTGGAGACGGGGTGAGCCGGCTAGGGCAGGGATCCTCTCTGACCCCCGGTCCCTCCCCCCACCCCCCCACCCGAGTCGCTGGATGGCTGGGAGGCAGCCCCCCTGGCATCGATGCTGAGACACTCCACAAGCTCCTGGCAGGTCTTGTCCAGGTGGTGGCTTTCGGCCTGGCCCTCTCCCGGTGCCACCCTCGTGATGCGCGGGACCTGCGCCTGCAGGCTTGCTGCCCTGCCCCGCTCACGCACATGCTCACCTTGCAGCCATTCCGGTTGGGCTCCCCGGAGAGGTAGTGGGCGAAGACTTCAAAGACACTCTCTTCGCTGCTCAGCTCCGCCCCCCACATCCTGAGCAGCTCTTCCCTCGGGGACTTGCTTTTCAGGTAGAAGAGGTAGTAGTCTCTCAGCTCCCCAAAGGCAGGCGAGGAGGAGTTGCCCCTGGCGGAGGAGGAGGGGCCCGAGGTCAAGGCAGCCCTGACTTTGGGCACCTGAGAGTTCCCACGTGCCTACCCAGGGCACCCATTCCGTCCCTGCTCGGGAGGGCTCCAGCACCACCCCAACCCCAGGGGCCCTCTGGGGCTCACCAGCGGCCGTTGGGGAACTCGTCCCACTCCTGGGTGCGGTAGATGTAGCTCTTTGGTCTGGAGGCCCAGAAGATGGGGCGCACGTCTTCCTCCCGGCGCTTGGGGTGGGCGCTGACCGCCCAAGGCAGGGTACGCCTGGGCGAGAGGGTGACTCAGAACGTCAAGGGCCAGACAAGGAGCCCTGGTGGTGCCATGGCTAAATGCTCAGCTAAGTGAAAGGTTACCGGTTCAAACCCACCAGCCACTGCAGAAGAAGATGTGGCAGTGTGCTGCAGAAAAGACTCCCAGCCTGGGGGCGTCACAGGGCCCTTCCACTCTGTCCTACAGGGGAGCCAGGTCGGAATCGACTCAATGCCAGGAGTTAGAGGGTGCCGGAAAGCGGAGAGCCCCCTGGATAGTAAAGCCTGGCCTCCCCAGGAGTTCTCCCCAGGATCCAAGACCCTTCTCTGACTGCCCCGCCCGGCGGGTTTTCCCATGGCTACCCCTCCTCAGAACACAGGGCCTCTGTGTGTACCTGGGGTCCTCAGTCCACATGCCCAGGCGCTTCAGCACCTTGATGGTGGCCACCTCGCGGTTGAGGGTATAGAAGTGGAGGCCCGGTGCCAAGCCGCTGGCCAGGAGCTCTTGGCACAGGTTCACAGCCAGCTCAATGCCGTAGTTGCGGATGGCAGCGTCGTTGTCCTTGATGGGCTCAATCACGTCCCTGATCTTCTGTGGCACCTCCAGCTTGGACAGCTTCACCAGCTGCCGGAGCGAGTGATAGCCCTATCCAGCATGGGGGGG